ATTCTTAATAAAAATAACATTTAATACTAAAGTCCTAGTAAAAAGACAACTGTGGAACATATTATGTATTTTATCAAATCAACTTACATGAAGGGTTAACTGCATGTTAAAGAAAAGATTTGTATATACTAATTCATTGGTGTGCTGCTACATATGCAAGTCATGACACCATGCTGAGCACACACACATTTGGCTCATGGCAACTTCCCACCCATTTGACATTGTAATTGAAACATGGATAAACTTATGACTGAACAATTATGTCAAAACCCTTGCTGAGGAATGGTATCCATACAGCAATATTGTTAAATATTGTAGAGTCAAAGGTACATAAAACAAAAAATGGGCCTTATATGTTCTCCATGGAAGTGGAAAAATTCACACAGCAGTATTTTGGTCAGCAAGACACTCATCTGCAAAGCAAAAACTCTGATGAGAAAAGAGACAAGACAATGAACATAAGCACCTGATACCAAAATAAACAATGCTTTGATGCTGATGAAGACTTATAATTCAATAGTTAACAAGCTTCCAATCATACCATGATTGTTTTCATGAAGAATGCCAAAAAAGGATGAAATCAAAGCAATTCCAGTCAACCAACCACATACTTGTTAAGTACCGAGATGTAACTTCAGTGGACTTTTATGCCTTTGGTTTTCTTAACTCTCTCAATATGGGCTCGGTCAATTTGACTGACTACGTAACCACCGAAACAAAAAATTCTAAATTATCCTTTTTTTCCTAAGTAGCTCTAAGTTCATAACAGTGTACATGTACTTATAATTAAATGTTATTGCTTTATTACCCTATGAACGTGTCTAAGTACTATCTGCACCATTATAAGTTGTAAATCACTTGGGGAACGTGCAGCTGACGTTATGCTAACGAATTACAATACTCATGAGCTACTAAGAGCTGCTCGCATGTGCGCCTCGTTTAACATTTTTATTATAATATTATTATTTATTTTACCGATTCTAATTTTAACTAACCTAAACGGATCCCTATTTTACATTTTAGTTACTTATATAATTAGACATAAAGAATAAACATAAAAAACAATAAATAAGATACTTGACCAATCTTCTTTTTTTTCTTGTTGTTGTTTGTCGAAGAGAGTTTACCCTAATTTTCTTTATACTAATGACAGTAATGCACTTAATAATTTTTATTTAATTAAATAATGCACCAAAGAATATAGACTAATAACATGCAAAAACAGACATATTCCCTTACCTCTCAAACGTTTTCTAGCTTTCTAACTATGCGACAAGAGTCATTACAAATTCTTCCAAGCTAGTCGTTAACTTTCTCACAGGAACAGTGTTGGTTCTCTGAGTGAACTTGACATTTAACCATTCAGAACATAACGTTATACAATACGTTATTTGACATATGAAAACATGACTTTCTATTGATTATAGGTAATATATGATTAAATGTAAGAGAGAACTATTAACGAATTCTGAAAGAGAGGATGTGACAGGTAGGCGTGGCAGGAGGGGTCTGATTTTCTATTCGATAGCCATGTAGCGAAACAAAATTGAAGACTATAAAAATTGTGGTTTGTCTGAGCAATGACAATTTTATAGAGAGTAATGTACATTTAATTTCATACTTTTTCGAGGGGTGGTGCATAAAATAGGGAAGATGACATGCTAAGAGAAAATGTGTCACATGGATAACTCTAAAGGAAATTCAGGATTTTTTAAAATATTGCCTTGTAGAATCATGAACTTAAAACTTATATACTATTACAATATGGATTATTTGCTAAGATTTTATGCTATTCAAATTGCTATAAGAAACAAAAAGTAGTTTAATATTTAAAATATTTGAATGTAAGACACTAAAACCTTGTTAAATATGAAGTTGATCCCTATACATTGATTAAGTTATTTACTATTAGTGATAGTTTATAACTTATAATAAAATAAAATGTCTAAGTATAAAATACAATACTTTAACCTTTAATAAGGAGGAGTCTAATAAACTGAAAAACTGTTTGAATACAATAGTCTCAATGCACATTAATGCATAATCTAAAAAAGTATTTTTACAACTTTAACACCAACAAGATCTTATTATGTTAACACATTCATACAAGCATAATTCCTACCTTAAGGTTGAAAACTTGCAGTTTGTCAGCTAAATCAAATTGCTCATATAGTAAATTACCTCTACATTTCACATTTATGTCTTTCTATATTCTAAACAGAGAGACAAATGTAAGCATGGTTAAACTGGGTGAGAACAAATAATTATACACCGAACCCTACCTACTAAGAGATTATCTGTGACTGAATATAGCAATCATTCTGAATTATTTCCAAGAAATTGTTAATAATTATTTGAAGTAAATTTAACTTATTCAATGTTTTATGACTGCACTGTATGATATCTAAGCTTTGGTATTTCCTGGGCCTGAGATTAAGCCCAGATCCTGTCCATTTGAATAGTCTAAAAACTTAGCACAAAAATTAACTCAATATCACTGGCTACTATGGCACTTTTTAACAACTCAAACTACCACAAATGTATATTTCATATCAACAAACAGTAATATGTTTATTTATACTCAGTGACTTTTATCAATATTAGGATCTGAAGTAGGTGACAAAGCACAATTTAAAAAACAACACCTTTGCTGTAACTTAGCATAATTAATATGTATCTACTTATATACGTTACAGCCTCTGATTACCAAATGTTATGTTTATATAATTGATAAATTCTGTAGCATAATGCAATGTAGGCAACCAACCAATCAGGATTGACCACTTTCTCTTGTTTGAGATATTCATTCTCTTCGGAGGTTTTCTAGACGGGCTTCAAGATCTGCATCAGCATCGGCTAGTGCTGCAGTGGGCTTATTTTTCTGGGCAGATACATTAAGTGATCCAGCTTCTGTTGGAAGACCAGTCAACTTTTCAGAAAGTTGCAAACCTAATTCATCTAGAACTTGTGATACAAGGGCCTCACTAAAGAAAAAACAAATAAATAAATACAATGTATATCAACATAATTCCTTTAACCATTTTCTCAGTCATGCCATTGTACTAGTTAATGAAGAAATTTTTAGCATTTATTATCAAATAAGCTGAGCCATAGTTTATTGTTTAGGTTACAACATTGAGTTGTACAATGTACTTCAAACCTGATAATTATCCTTACTTAACCCTTTACTGCGGCTGGGATGAATATTTGCCAGTGCTCCAAACCCTCACACTGCAACTGGAACAAATGTTTCCCCACTGTCATTCAAAATTGCTGCATGTGATGTACGGGAGTAAAAGGAGTGGAAAGTATTTATTGGCAACCCACACAGGGTTTGCAGTCGTACCAGTATCAGTGGTACTCTGTGTCCAGTACTGGTTTATAGTATATCGTATGTTGAGAATATCTGTTATCACAGGTCCCATCTTAAATGTTTTGACCGAATGCTGGTATTTCAGCATTGCTTTTCACAGAATTATAAATGTTTGATGTGGTAGTTTTGAGTCCATACTTCAGTCAATAAGCAAATCTCACCATGAAAATCAGTAATAGCATGAAATACGGGAAACTAGTGACTCCCACGCTCTGGAACAGAATGTGAATGTGCCTATATGACTGATTGCATATTAGGTAGGTGCATGCATGCTTAACCCTTAGAATGTGGGCAGGTCAAACTGTGCATGTCACAATGTTTTAGTGAGTTATATCCGAAATTTAATTAAACTATTTAATTATCTTGGCATACAAACAAACTTGACATCAAACCATAGATAATAAATCAAATATTAATACTATATAAGTTTTTAATTGTATAAGGAAATATTTAAAAACAACATCAAATTCCCCTAGTTTGAGAATTTGGATATTGTTCTTGAGCCATCTCCTCTTCTGGATTTTTTTGTCCACCCCCTAGAAAATTACAAAATGTAACGTAAAATATTCTCTATAATTTCTGAAGATATATTTTTATATTCTTCAATCTTATGGGGCTAAAGAGCAATCAATGAAAATTCAGAAACCACTTCCCTGCCTACCTCTAACATGCTCTAATTTATAATTTGCTAATAGATTTTTCTGAGGCTGACCCATTAAATTCATAACCAATAAAAAGCCTAGATTTCAACTCATTCAATGCCATAGTCATCATACCACGTGGGCTTACAGATAACTGACAATTTGGTTTGATGTGAAAAAACATTTTCCCACAAGAACACACTGGGAAGAATAGCTGAATTTCTAACTGCTCAAGTCACATGATCAGAGATACTCGATTGCTGGTACAGGTGGTATCTGGTCGGTACTGGTACCACCAGTGCTACTGCAAACCCTGATCCCAAATAATATTGATATATGATTTCCCTCAACGTTTCCCACTCGGTCCTTCAGTAACCAACAAGATGCTTAAACAGAATGTATGACAACTGCATGCTGACTGTGCCTGCATCACTAGAGCAACAAGTAGTAACCCTGATTGCTGTGTAAATATGCTCGATGCACATGACTCAGATAGCTTAGAAGATAGTGAAGGTAAATCAAGTGGTGTTCAAATGTGTAATGATGAAGAGGCAATGAGACAAGAGGATGCTAGCTCTCTATCTGGTAATGATAATCAAGATGATTAACTTGGAGATAGCAGAAGAAGGCATAAGCAACGTCAACAATGGAAAACATTTGTGCAGGGGTGGGAGCATTGGGAAGTATATGTCCCAGCTCCAGTGAATGGGCTAAGATTTTTATATATTTGGTTACCAGTCTTTTGTTCTCATACATGGTTATTATTTGTTATTTTAAAAGTAAACCATTTTATTCATTAGATAATGTAAACTTTGGAATACATGCTCTAGTAAGAAATGTAACTTGCTCCTATTAACATTTTAACACATGTACACAATGTTACATACATACATATTTCTTTAAATTGACATTTTTCAGCAAAAACTGAAAATGCAAACCTTACATAATGAAATGGACTTTCTCCTAGTTTAGCCAAAGGAAAATTTTGAACTGTCTCTCTTTCAAACTACTACCCACTGTTGCAGCCACCCAGCATAAGCTCAGATACACTAATAAAAAATTGTTTATTTTTCATTTTTTACACATTTTTAGCAATTCAACAACAAAAAATATATGGTTGAAAACAATATAGACATGGCTCATTCTTACCCTTCCTCTTCATCTTCTTCATCTCCCATAACATCATCAATTGCATCACTCATCATCTCTTCTTTCATATCCATAATCTCCGACTGTTTTTCAAACTCTTGCATGACCTTTTGAATCTGTGGCAAGTTCAGCTGTTGAAAGTAATAAAAGAAGTTTATGATCATCATGAATCATTTGAGCTCAGAAAGAAAAGTGGCTGCTGTGAAGTATCAATATAAAATAACTTAAAATAGCTAGAACTGTAACAAAACAACAATCACTCAGTGATGTTAAATGTAGTTTACAATATGTAAACATTTAAATTTTTATCCTTAACACAACAATTATTTTATAAATGTAATGGACAATGATTCTTGTTATTAAAATAAATTAAAAAGTATGTATATGATATCAAGTCTATCTAGGTGAAACAGTAAAACTTCATATCACATTAAAACAGTAAACTGAGTGAGTGCACATACTATACTCTCAAATTTTATTATTCCTGTTCATCAATAATTTTCAGAATAAAACTTTAACTCTCCCATTACAATTTACTTCATCTTTTGAAATACAAAATGATCAAATTCAATACGAGTGAAAATGTACGATACCCATTTGGGTGGTCCAAATATATAACAATTACAAAAAGTCATATGTCCTGTACATTTTCAGCCCAATTTAAGATGCAAATGCCTTGCCACCAGCACCAAAACATTTTGCTTGTTCAAAAATCTATTGAAATTTGGAATTTTATAATTACTACCATTTTTAATTTAATAAAACGTTTATGAGAAGTTGCCTCGCTTTTGCTTGAATTTTTAAGTTTTTAATGCAGATGTTTTAATGTATTATTTTGATTTTGAATGTATAATGTGAATTCACTGCCATAATATTTGTTGAATCTTGTTTATTTAGATTGTTTGATGAACAATGATTGGCCTGTTATGAGGAAAGATCCTGACATATGGTTAATAAGAAAACCTGCAGCTGTACTCTCAGCTTTCAGAATTCCTGTCTGTTATTCTATTCAAAAGCTGGATCAACTTTAATGGTGCAGTTGCAGACAGAATCATACTTGAAATTCCAAACCAATGGGACAAACCAGGTATAGCTACTCAATGAAAAGACAAAGTCAAAGCAAAGATTTTGAATCTTTATGATGATTACAGGACACTGCATAAGAGGAAACGATGTAAATCAAATGAAGCAAAAGAAAAATTGATTGTTGAAGAAATACAAAATTACTTTTCTGTTGCATGCCAAGATACTCAAAGAACATAGAAATTGAGTGAATCAAAAACAGAAAAATATATTGAATTTCAGAAAGTTTTACAAATTCAGAAAACAAGAAAAAAGCAAATAAAATGATGAGGAAAAAATTCTTATTTGACGAGAAAAAGGTCTGAAGAACAAATAAAGCAAAGTCTTGCAGCAACTGTCAGTATAAGTTTAGAACACCCAAATTCTGAGGCAGTATGTTCTATAGCCAGTCCAGATACACAGTATGAAGATGACAATTTTAAATGCCCATCTTACTTTGGCACTAGGCCTAAGAACCCTATCCAGAAGAAAAGGAACTGTTACTTTACAGCTTCCAAACAATCCATTCAGAAGTCCAAAAATTTCAACAATGGCAGACTGCTTAAATTTACCTACAGGTCAAAGAACAACATTCATGGCTGCAATCGTTTCAGAATGTGGGACTGATTTGGATAGTGTGACTTTCTAAATTGAGTACAAGGAGTGCAGCAAAAAACCTTCAAATGGAATGTGCCATTGCTAAGAAAATCTCATTTATTCCACCAAAGTATGCAACATTGTACTGGAATGGAAAAATTGTTCCAGGAGATGGGGTAAGGCTAGAAGTTCTTACAGTAGGAATGTCATACCACAGAGAAAGAAAATTGCTTGGTTTTCTCATGATTCCAGCTGAAACTGGTAAAACCCTGAGTAACACATCCCAGTGGAAAATAGAAAACTTTATTGTTGTTTTTGATACTACAGCTTCAAACTCTGGAGTGGTGCTTGTGTGCAGTTAGAAGCTTTGGTAAACAAGAAAGATTTTTACTTTGCTTGCCATCATTAGATCATGGAAAGAATTTTGTGTGCAGTTTGGCATGAATTATTGGTTGCAATATTCAGTCTGGATAACCCTGAATTCAAAGAGTTTAAGAAATCATGATCAACTTTTAAAACATTGCATATCTCTGATCATCAACTTAAACGTCAGTGGGGAATTATTATCAACTTTCTCCAAGAAAGATTGATTTTATTTGAAGCTGCCTCAAAAGACTTTCTGCCTTTGACGATTATCGAGAATGTATCGAGTTGATGGTGATTCTCCTATGAGAACCCCAGCCTTGTGGACTGAACTGGCTACAGATTGGTACATATATCAACATGCCTGTTGGATGGCAACTGTGGTTTTATAGGTACACATTTGGTGATCATTCCAAGATGGACAAGCTGCACCACATCTGCTTGTTTAATGCTCTCTTCTATGTAAAAGCTTGGTTATCCACAGTTTCTGCTGCAGACATACCTTCTAATGATCTTCAGCTATGGAATGATCTGAATATACACAAAAAAACTGATCCAACACTGGCAGGAGCAGCCATTACTGCTCTCAACAGCCACCTTTGGTACCTAATGGAAGAAGCCACACCTTTTGTGCTCTTCTCTAACATGGTGTCAGAATCCCAGAAGAAGCAAATTGCTCATCAACTGATCAAGGTGAAGGGCAAAACACCACTGCAAAAAGAAGTCCTAATTTTTCCACAGCTTTATCAACTAAATTGGCATCTATGATTGGCAAAAAAATCACGGCTCCTATTCAACCTTGGCATTAACACTGACTGGTTATACTTGCCATCAACACAATGAGTCACTGATGGTGATTTCCAGGAAGCTGTCACATTTGTTCACCATGTCATCTGAAAGAGCAGTCAAACTCATCACAGACTTTACAAATACCATAATGAAGAATGATAAGCAAAGGCAATTCATGCTGCTAGTGGTTGAAAAACACCATCACAACATCCCAGGTTTGAAAAAAACAACTTGCATAAATATCCAAATTGTTGTTTCCTGTGACTGTTTGAACCATTCAGTAGCATGATTTTTACATTAATATTAAACTCATTGACTAAATTGAATATTGATTACAGAAAATATGAATGTTCTATATATGCATAGTATTTTAGTTATATATATAGTAAATAGTGAATAATTTGAAATGATCCTTTTTGTACTGGCAAGGCTTTAAATGATCTTTCAGACCTCAAACATGACTCAGGTCACTTAGAATGATCAATGTAATGGGAAAATGCCCATGGAGCATGTATTTTTAACTTTTAAATTTTTGTAGAACACTCTTAATATCCATACTATCTTAAAACGACTGCAATAAGAACAGCGTCGAAGATAATAGCATTTTAAAAAATCTACGTTAAAAACTATTTCCTTTTTTCCTCTTCTTAATAACCTAATGTTTCAATGTTTGTCATGTTTTAATCTAAAAGCTTTTGTGAGTGATTTATCTTTTGAATGGTATATGAAATAAATGTACTAGTCATAAAATAGCTGTGATGTTTATATTATTATTCTTGGTATTCCCAACACATGTGTTCCCACACTTTTGTGTTGGGAAAATTCTAAGACTTCTCCAGAAGCACTAAGAAGTTCTCCACGACCTTTTAAACCTTATCAGTAACTAGTGCAGTAAAATTTGGTCAAATACCAGGTCTGGGTACCCGGCCACTAAGCTCTGGCTGGGGGCCAGGTGTCAACCGGGACCAGGTTCCCCCCCCCAAAAACAACAACATATACACAAAAATAAAAACAAAAACAAAACTGCCGTTTATTACATTTAAACAAATAATCACCAACAGAACATTGCTCAAGTTTTATTTTCTACTTTCAATGCCTAGCCCCAACTTCTCAAACCCTAACCCCTATTGTTCTCAAAACCCTCACCTTCCTCAGAAATCAACTTCTCAAGCCATACCTGTTATTAACCCCTACTGTTCCCTGAATTCCCGATTTTCAGTGGGTGGTCCGGTTTTGTTGCTCTGAACACGTTTCTTTTATAACTAAACCAATTATTAACTGTAACTTTCAGTATCATGTTAGTTGCCACAAAGATTAGAGCTTAGGTGCCTAAATTTGACACTCGGCCAGAGCCAAGTATTACCAGCTAGTCCAATACCCGGCCGGGGCCGAATATCTGGCTAGGTACCCATGCATCCCTATCAGCAACTAAATTAAACACTTTATGCATAACTTTCAGCATGAAGTTTAGCCAAAAGAAAATTCTGAACTATGTTTAAACTTTTAGATAATTAATTAATATATTTTGATTATCTTTCATGTCTGCCCCAAAGATTTTTTTTTTGTAGATTCTCTAGAACATCATAAAATATGTATAAAAAGTATTACAAAGTGCATATATTAACCTGATTTTTCTGATTTTTTGTGTCTCATGTGGTATGTTGAATGCAGCATTGGTTTAGATTAGATGTTTATGATGTCCAAATACAAAATCTATAGTTTCTTACAAATTAAGATCTCAAATTACTGATATTGACAAGATGGAATATAAAATAAAAACCTCCTATCTCTTCTATTTCCTGAGATATTGCTACATTTAGTGAACCAAACACAGTGGCCCTGCCCACCTCTTTCCATTTTTGAAAATGCTTACATACACCTACTTCTGTTTATGAGGTGTGAATAATGAATTAAAAGCTTAGAATATCCCCCATGTGGTTCTCTGAGCCTTTGAGAAGTATTTACATGGGAAACCCTTTCTTTTCATGGTAGATTCCAAGTGGTAAAGTAAGACATTATTGAGCTTGAGAAATCATATTTTTTTAGACCCAAATACAGCTTAGCTACTAAGCTTGATAATTTATAGTGGATTTCTGTGGTATTTATATAATAATTTATGATTTCTTAATATTTAGAAATGTATGTATAAAACTTTAAAAAAAATTTTGTTTTACATTCTCTACGCAAATTAAGGCAAGCAGCAAATGGGTACAAAGTTCGTAACTAGAAGAGATAATTGTTTTCTACACTTCTTTATTTACTATTCTATACTTCAGTGAAAATAACTCAAATTTAAGAGTTTATTTGGAAATAGTAATGATGTATATGCATATATAATGTACTATAACTGAAATGTAACTGTCTTTTACAAAATACTGGTCCACTAGAACATAGCCAAGACAGGTCACTTTGTAAAAGCTAGTTTTATATTATTGGATATGGTAACATGAATGCATGTGCACCGAGTCATTCAACTTCTGTAATGTTATTCAGACACTGTTGATAGGTCAATAAAATAAAAATAATATATTTTTATATATGCAAAATGTTACGAAATTTAAACCATTTAGACTAAACACTTATGGTTTTGTGTTATAATCTGTAGTGACTCTAGAATGATAAAAGCATAACTTGTATTTATTTCCTATTTTTTTATGGTAGAGGTTGGTAGAATTGACCAAACCCATACAAAGATACAATAGTGAAAATAACAGATAAAATATAAAGTTTTTTTTTCTAAAAAAGTGTTTGATAGTTACCTGGAGGATATTAGGAGGTTATGGAGATTTTGCATGCAAAATTTTACAATTTTCTGATGCATAAAAGTATTTTTAATCTTGAAATATAAATTACTTTACATGTTGGATAGTTAATATTTGAAAATAAAAATTACATGAGCAAATAATTAATTAAGAAATTTTAAAACTTAATTAAAAAATCAGATACTTTGTGCATGAATGCCTTTTAAAGTTTACCGATAATCTGTAAAATTTCGTAAAGATACTTGTACATATTAAAAACCTACAGTATAGCTGCTTTATGCTTACTTTCGGAAATGTAGGCAGAGTGGAATCCACCCACCTGTAGTAGGATGGTTAACTAATGGTTCTTCATATTAATGATCTGAAGACTCGTGAGACCTACCTTGGTTGTATAATGTATACTTAGTACATACCAGTTGAAGAAAACTGTCAATTATAAGCTACAAAACTTTCACCAGGGCTCTATACAACAGACTAGAACCAGCTTGCCAGTGCTCAATATATTTCCTTTTTTTAATTTTTTATATGCTCTTACAAAAAACAAAAGAATCAAACATAGAAAAGCAGTTTATATACATTACATTAAAATACTGTCAAAATCAAAAATAAATATTCAAATAAAACAAATATTAACCATGAGAACAAATCATATTACACGGATTATCACACACACACACACTGATTAATCCACTCGAGATCATGAGAATTTTGAATCTGATCAAATTTTGAAATGTGATGCCATTCCATTTTTAGTTTCAATTTAAAAATTTATTTTTCCTCCAATTAAAATTAACCAATTCATTTTCATTCACTTACTCACCAGTATAACCATTGCTATTAAATATTTCATGATGCAGGTGAAGTGCCAATAAATGTTTGAAATACCACTTCTTATTTGTCAATTAATCCCAGTTTTATAGCACTGAAATGAAACTTAAGGGCCTTTCTAAGACCAGGAGAGCAAATCTATATATTTCTATATTTTTCCTGAAACTGTAGAAATCATGACAGCAGTATGATGCCCCATCTTGGCTGCTTCCACTTTGTCCAAAGTAAAGCTTCAGTATTATGGTATATAAGCAAAAGTACCCATACCCAGTGACAGGAAAAGTTTAAATTAATTGATCAATTTAAATTATTTCATGGACTTTAAAATGGTTAACTGTGTCACAATCTTGGTTTCACTCAAAACCAAAGCTCTGAGCTATTTACACTGCTCACCATGAAAACTAATTATTGAGCATTTCAGTCATGCTAAGAGTTGCTCAACAATAACATACAGTAATTGTACATTTTTATTCCATACGTTATGTCACATTTTGAAATGTAAAAGATAGTGTGATTAATTCCTAACAATTTAGTGTAGAATATCGTGCTTGTGAAATAAAATTTGGCATCAACATTATTCATACCTGTTATTCCATTATTTCCAGAATGAATGTTGAGCTATGCCTGCATGTACAGCTTTCATATGTAGTGCGGGAAGCAGCCACCGTAAACGGGAGACAGGCAAATGTTCAGACAGATTTTAACAGACACCACGGCTTACAAGATATCTAGGATAATGCCTTATATGGGTGAAGTATGATCTGTAGATCAGTTGTTTGTTAAAACTACATCACAATAACACTGATATTGTTGAAATACTATTATGTTCTTTTTACTGGAAACCTATATAAAAAGAGTAAATACAGATTTGTTAAAAATTATAATTAGTCTTACTGTGATGGAATATCATACATAGTTAACAGATTATGCTTTGCCAACATACTACATTATATACCATAATACTGAAGCTTTATTTTGGATGAGATGAAAGCATTCCAGCTAGGGCATCATGCTGCTGGGATGGTTTTCACAGAACCTGGTATTATGTATCATAACAATCAACACCTTATAAATGACTGCTATAAAAAATGTTTTGACCAACGCTTTGTTTGTTACACCCGTAGTTAACCTAATAGGCTCTGGTTTTGAAAGAAAGGCCTTATCGTCAGTGGTATGCAGCATATAAGCTGTGTGTGTGTGTGTGTTTGTATATGGCTGAGACACTATTATATTATTATTATCACAGGAAACCTGTAAGGGCAAGTAAAGAAAGAAGTGTTAAAAATAATAATGTCTTATTGTAATATATATTAAACAAACAATTTCAAGCTTGTGTACTTTCAAACCTTCCTTTCTTGTCTGTCAACAATTAATGTTCAGTCTATTTACAGGTTTCTTATCAAACTTTAATTTAATTGTTAAACTTCAGAAATTTTTTTACCTTGTTCAAAGGAATTTATATTTGACCAGTTTCTCACCTGTTTATTCATTGCTTGCATGGCCTTTGTTACTCCTTTCATAGCTTGGGCCATTGCATTTTGAGAACGCAATGTTTGGATTTTCAGTGACACAGCTTGAATGTTTGCTCGCATCAAAATAAACTTTTTGACATAACGCCTTGTTCTGACCAAATCTTTAGCCATTATCTTCACAGCATCCTGAAAATGTAAAAGAAAGATAATCTATACCTTGTTCATGAAATATGTATTATGTTCTACAGTTTGTAAAGTCATTAAAATCTAGGAAGAACATTTGACAAAAACTTATCAATTGTGAAAGTAAAGTAATATGCACAATATATAAGCTATTTTTTGTCATTTTAAAATACAAAACTACTAGCAACTTAAAAGTATATTACAATTCTTATTATTTAACAAAAAATAATTTTCTATTTTCAAAGTCTAGATGGATATAAAAACATTATCACTAATTGTGAAAAATATCCTACAGTACATTAAATTCTCCATACATATCAGTTTTATCCACACTGATTGGTGTCTAGCTCCAAACTTCTTTGAATTATCTCTTATCAGTATATATATGTAGTTTGATACCTGTAGTTATTATGAACTTTTTTTTTCTATTTTTTCCTCTGTTTAATAATGGAAGAAAAATTTTGGAGCTCTCTGACAGAGAACTTACAGTTGTCAAATTTAATATTTTACTGGGAAGTATAACTTTGGTATTAAATTTTATAATAGTTAATTTATTGTGTTTCAGTCACATTAGTTCAGATCTAATCAAAAACACCTTAGGTGTGAAAAAAGGTGTGGCCAAAAAAGGATTGAGCATGCAACTTAAAGGAATGAAATCAACATTGGTGGACAAACTGGTAGCTATACTTATAGCATTGATAAGAATTTTACAGCAAATATTCATTAATTTTTTAGCCAGGCCACATGTTTTGTTAAACTTGGGGCATGATGGTGAGTAAAACAAAATACAATGCTTAGCTAACTAATGAATAAATATTTGCTGTAAAATTCTTATCAATGGCATAAGTGAAGCTACCAGTTTGGCCACCAATTTTGACTTCATTTCTTTATAAGTGGCAAGTTCAATCTTTTTGGCTGCATCTTTTTTTTTTCACACCTAAGGTGTTTTTTACATTTTGTCAATGCACACCAACAAACCAGAAGTAAGAAAGTGACACTTGATAGTAACCAACATTAGCTTTAGGATGGCAACCCTATTATTTGGAACAGATCTATACTTTACAGAACCAACCAGATGGTGGTAGTTTTTCCTCTCTAAAACAGAGTTAATAATTTCCTTTATAGTAACACCATGGAATCTAGATTGATACTTTTTTGTCATCATCTAAATGCACTCAGTACAGCCATATCAAGTATCATTATTTACGCTAATTGCTTAAGCTAATATCATGCAACATTAAACCCTCTTTAATTAGGAGAATTTCATAAAATTTAGCAAATTTGTGCTTAAAAGTTGACAATGAATAATAACCATTCACTTGTATGATTCTTTTGAAAACTTGAACTAGAAACTGCTAATCTAGTTTGCTTGGCCTAACCAATACTTGTGTATCTACACATGCTTTCACCCTATAGTTTACTGCTCTAAATCAGTCATCTTTAATTCGATTGACGACGACAAAAAAAAATATTAAAAAGGTCCACTTTTACTCTAGCTCCCGTAACTTTTTGCGCAGTCGTGCTAAAAAATTTTGGTTAAATTTAGCAGTTTTTATTTAGACCAACTTTGACATCTAAGTGTAGGTTGTAAAGGTCTATAAAAGTTAGGTATGTTTTTCTATAAAATAAATTTTCCGTACTCTCGGTGCAAAGAAAAGTTAAATGTAATCTGTTGGTCTATCTAGGTCATATCATCCCCCAAGCAAAACTTAATTAAATAAAAAAAGAAAAAATCAAAGCCAGCCATTATCCTTCATTTATTTATGAAGCTTTCTTCTAAACTCTCTGTTAGTGTTATTCCCATCAAAATTATACTTATAATCAAATCATAATAACCTACATGCATTACCTTGCATTCATTATAATTAAACATCATCTGCCATTTATTCACCCAAGTCACCTAGTGATCTCAATACTTCTGTAAAACAACAGCATCCTCTTCAGAGTCAGCAACACTCAAGACCTTAATATCATCAGGAAATGTAAGTAATTTGTTGATCATGGCTTCATCAATGTCATTGATGTAAATTGAGAGTAAGTGTGTGGATTTAGTATATCTGAATTTTCAGAAAGTAGTTGACAAGGTGCCACATAAAAGGCATGTTAAAAGTTTATTTGTATAGGTATGGAGGATAAGTTAGCTCATTGGATATACAGGTGGGTTATCTTGGAGCTCAGTTAAGTACCTTTGTTTTCTCTTTGCCTACATAAGCAGTAACCTCTTCAAAGAATGTCAAATGATTGGTAAGGCAAGATATTACCCTAGTGAAACTATGTTGGATATACAACAAAATTTTGTATGTTGTTAAAAAATGACTTTGCAAAGTGCTCATCTTTTAGCAGACGTTTAAAAACTTTCTCCATAGGCCTATAACGGTAGTTCAAATAGATTTGGGGGGAGGGGGTTATAGGGTGCAACAGGTACCAGAACTGGGTTAAGTATGAGAACTGTAAGCTTCATTACAATTTTTATGGACTCGGAAAGATACAGAACTCCACAATTGCTGATCTTGCTCACACAAGAATAAGTTTGAGATAGCTTTGGGGAAGATTGTGCTATTGCAGGTAAATATAACAGATTAGGACCAGAAACAAAGAAAACAAGATAGAAAAGGATAAAGTAAAGGTTGCTTTTGGATAGAGTGAAGAGGATAGTGCTGGATTTATATGGAAGCATAATAGTGAAAAAAAAATTGGGCATATACAGAGGCAGGTTTACTTAGCATTGAGATACCAGTCTGAAAGATTTGAACCTTTGGCTGCTTGTAAAAAGAAAGATCATTAAGAGATGTACATAATGGGATGCTCCTTCATTATCTATTCTAACAAAGGTTGTTCGTAGTGGAAAGAATTGGAAGACTGGGACTAAAATTACCTGGTACCAAGGGTAATTCTTTTTTTCTTTTCGCAGTGCAAGTAGGAGCAAATGATATTGGAAATTGGAAATCTAAAGGGCTGATTAAATAATACAAACAACTTCAGTGGTTTAAAGATAGTAATAGACAAACAGCCCTTTTCTGTGTATTCTCTCAGACTAGATTTAATGATTTAATTTAGGGAATGATTTAATAAGCAGAAACCACAAAAGAGCATTGCTGTTTGAAGTTGTTAGATAGTTTTAGTGGAGGGGTGAATTATATGCTATAGATGGGCTACATTTAAGCAGACTAGGCAACAAGAAACACTAGAAAAAGCCAGTTTAAAATAAACTTAATTTACACAGCAGTGAAGGAGGTTGGAAAGTTGGAATAAACAACTTGATAGGATAGGTAGGTGGATGAGGAAATTGTAAAAAGATTTAGAGCATAATAAATTAAAAAACAGTTTTAAAGATACTGCATATCTGTCAGATTGAAAGGTAGGTTTAGTTGCTATTATTCTAATGTTATGAATACCAATCACAAAATGGATGAGTTTAGGGTTTGAGTTGAAAGGGAATTACTGAAATATGGTTAGATTTTGAGATTACTAATTTTAAGAATAATTTTGATTTAAAATTCCAGGTTATAAATTACTCAATAGTAAGACGATTAAACTTTTAAATATATATATATTCCCTTTTTTTTACAAAAGGGATATTTTCAATATTTTGAACCTGAGCATTCTATGGGAAATACCTGAATTGACAGAGCAACAGACCTTGCGAGATTTATCCACTACTATGCAAAAATATTTTCTTCAGTCATATTACTGAGTCAGTTTCCATCTATATTAGATGTGCAATCCAAATTATGATAATCCAAATGCAATAACTAGTATTTATTATAATTAAAGGCCATTTACCCAATATTTCTACAACTTACAAATTTATTCAAAACATTCTGTAGTATCTCAACATTCTCAATAGAGCTATAAATACTTAAGAGCTAAATATTATTAGCAAAACTTTAGTAATTTACTAATTATGCCCCTACTAATACTTTAATGTAAATATAAAAACAAAAAGCCCAAGAACTGACACTCTGAGGTGCACTAAGCTAGTAATAATGGTCCATTTTGATTTGAGTCCATTAATACCAATTTTTTGCTTTATCTCGTCTCATCCAATTAACTAGTCTTTCCCCTACTGATGCAATTTTTTAATTTTATTGGCTATGTGATACATCTTCAAAAGCTTTTCAAAAATCAAAAAGTTCACCAATTCTACATCCTTCTCATCATCCCAATAACAAATTCTTTAGATAATAAGTTACTAAATTGCAAAGGCAAAATTTCTCTTTGATGAATCCAAAGCTGTACTGTTTGTAAATATATTATGAGAAAAATTGTAGGTATAAACAAAACTCTCAAAACTGACCTACCATCTGACTATCTTTTGCCATTTTTTTAATATCAGCAATCAGTTTCTTTTCTTGTTGTTCCATCTTTGTTCTTTCTCTGTCTAAATCTCTCATAGCTTTATTTAAGGCTCTTTGATTTTGGCGGAGCATTTCCTCCGGTGTTTTGCGATGGCCAAATAAAAACTCCAAAGGCATTTTGGTAAACAAGTCTGTAAGAATTAGAATATCTTAAGTAATAATTCTCTTATGCATTACTTTCTTTCCTACTTAATTTTACTTAATTTGAAAAAAAAAAAGTCTGGAAAAACAACCACTAAGTTCCACTGTAAAAATTTTGATGTAAGCTGTTTTCGTAGAATTCTGTATGAATGAAAATGCTATATCCAATCAGCAAGTACAAGAAGGCTTGAATCTTTTTAACTTTAAATAAAAAAATAAGTATCTTATTTCAATTGTACGAAAATAAAGTTAATTTAGCTAGCTTACATTTCAATCTAATTCTAAATCCAACAGGAAATTTCCATTCTTCTAAAAACATCTTAAAATTCAAATATTTTTTTGTTTCATATTATGAAAATGGTGGCTATATAATTACTTGCAAAACAAGATAAATACACAACATTTGAGAGGTTACAAAACTTAAACCTAGGCCTAAATATAATATTGATATGAAAAATCAAAATCAAGCCTACAGTTTAAATTTCATTTACAAATTACATGTAAGGCCTGCACCATGATAAATACATTACTACGAGAGAATATATACCATGTTAGTTTATCACTTTATGTTTAAAAATAAAAGTTATATTTGTAAGTATACTAATACTAGTAAAGGTAATACTGTTACTGTTACACTTAGTGTTATATAACTTATTGTTAATATAAATAAGATAGAGAATCTGGTTTCTTTTCCGTTTTAGTTTAATATCTAATGATACACAGCAGACTATTTTATAAGAATAACAGAAAATATTAATATAATTAAGGGCGTTGGTAACACTAACAATACATTTGTCAACAATCACAATGTCACTTTAATTTTAAAGTTGCGGGGTTACCATCACTACACTCCTGGACTGGAGTATATCGTGATGGTAACTTCGAAATCAGTCACTGTCAATGCGATTGTAAATTTGATTTTAATTAGTATAATACTTAAATTTAAAGTTATTCCAAAAACACTTACGGAAAACTACGTATAGACTTCTACGAAAATGTAATTTGTTGTCTGGATAAATACTTGTCACGAAACTTTAGAATAAATAAGCTTACAATACTATCATATATGTTTACAATAGCACGACAGTGAATAACAGCATACGTAGTCGTAAAATTCTTTACACACAACTTTCTACTTATAATGCAATAAGATAAGGCATAATACTTAGTCAAGATCTGTGATGAGTCACAATCAAGAGTCTGATACATCAAACACAAAATATAAAAGGGATCGTTTCATAATTATCGGAAAACTCATTAAATAAATATTAAGATATACTATTGCAAGCAAGCTTGTATTATGAATGTTATTATTCAAACAACCTTCAGAGTCATTTGATTAGCAGAAAACGAAAGTAAATTTAATGTGCTTAACAACAAATAAATTCAAATTACTAGTTTTTATTATTATATTATAAATAACCATAATTGTTGCTCACGTAGGAAAGACAAAAACAACAACAACAACAACTGAACATTAAACTTTTGTAATAGTATATTATGCAATGATGATAAAATTAATTTAAAAAACGTGAAATTTATATTTAACTGTTAAATGTTATAGCTTCAGTTTGTATGAATGTAACACCATTTAAGCAGATGGCTTCCTTCTGCATACATAACTATTTTTTTCCCCAGAACTGTAACTGTAAGCGCAAAATTACATAATGGGCTACTTACGCTATGCTCACCGCAGGGATTGAATACCGAATTTGAGCTATACGCCTTCAAACTTACCGCTGAGTCACTGAAAGACATAAGTGTAACCAAAATTAGTCTTCTATCTTTCATGTTAACGTGTTTATTTTAAAACTAAATTAAAAATCCCTTACAGTAGTGTTAATTCTTATACACAGCTCTTAATTATAATAAAGACGACTTTTTTTACTTGAGATTTATTCTTTGAGGTATGTGTAGCGTCTCTTGAGGATGTTGAGAATTGTAAAGCACACATGTTAACACAGGTCTAATTATCTCTTACATTTTCTATGTTACTTTATTAAATTAAAATAAATACATTCACTTATTATCAATAAAAAACAGGTTTATCCAAAACAATAATCTTTGTGAGCCTCTTATGCTCACTATAAACATGCTTTAATTTTTTTTTTTGTTTGTATCTAAAATAAATCTATGCTAGTCACTTAATTTCAT